TTCTACTGATCATAAATCCATTGTTGAGATCTACTAAAATACATTTATATTGTGCAATTTTCCAAACTCACATTGGTTTCTCATACAGCATCACTGTATAGTATGTGTATTCACTCTCTGTCCTAAACGGCTTGTTGGAGCTCCTGCCCCCCCTTCCCTGTGAGCCCAGTGGCAGTCTGCGAGACACAGCGAAACCCAGCCCGAAGAACACACACACCCGCAGCCTGGCTGGGAGTTTGTGTGTGTGCCCAGGCTGAGTTCCCTGGTGTCTCGCTGTCTCTCCGACCCCACACCAGTGTCCCGCTCCTCGCAGCAGCGAGCCTCACAACGTCCTGCCGAGTGTGTGTGTGTGAGGAAGTCCACGGATTGGTCCAAACCTAACGGCTCCGCAGACGTAACCTAACGGCTCCGCAGAGCCATTGGGTTACGTCACTATTCCCAAAATACGTCACTATACCCAAGAAGTAAACAATGGGGCAGCACAGACAGGTCTTCTCTGTGTTAGAGTGTTACTCCCTACAGGGTGTACTCTGAGGGGTTGAGACTCTGCGGAGCGTTCACATGCAGAAGCTACAGAACACAAGGGGACGGGTCAGAACCAGAGAAGCATGACATGGGACCTTTAACTGTTCTGTACTCATAAATCTCTTCATCAGGTCTCGTCGACCCCTCAAAGCTCTTTAAAGACTACGAGAATATGTTTGTCTGTATACTGACAAAACCAGACTTTGAGGCTCTGGGAGGATCTCAACATACTTTTAGGACAAACCAAAACATTTAGTGAATGCAAGATAAAAAGCAAACGGCTTCATGAGAAGTTTCCTAAAGCAATTTAAATCTGTATTTTCTGAGCATTTAACCAAAAACGTCTTTTCTATTCTCACATTCAAATACCAAAGATATAGTTCGGGAGGAAAGGAAATCCCGTTTGTATTTTTGCCAACAACGGTCTAAGAAATATCAGATTCAGCTTTTAAACGCCAATCCTAAATGTGTAATATGTCTCGTATGTCTCAAATATGGTGATTTGTTTCTGTTCACATCAGATTCAAGTGAATGTTTTTGAGTCTATACTGACAACACCAGACCTTTGAGGCACTGGGATTCACGATTTCTATATTTTCTGACATATTTTTAGACAAAACCAAATCATTTAGCAACTTAAATCTGTATTTTCTGAGCGTTTAACCAAAACCTACTTCTATTCTCACGTTTAAATACGAATGTGAATATTTCCTCTCTCTCCTGCAGAGGTATTGCCAAACTCTCCGCCTGGATTCGGGGATAGATTACCGCCGGAGGAACCGACCGTCCGCTGGAAAACTCTACTTCCTGTAAGAGCCCTTCAAAATAAAACCAACCAGTTATCGTACGTTTTATTTTGAAGTTCTGTTTGCATGTTTTTGATGTTTCAGCTCCAGTGAGCCGGACGTCCAGGCGACTTTAGACAAGAAGTTTGATGAGATGGCTTTCAAACAGAACGACAGTGAGTGACTTATACCTTATATATCTTTATATTCTTATTTAAAGGTCAGCTATCGTGCTATGTTCAGGCAACAGCAGAGGTCTCAGATAGAAATATATAAAAACATGTCTATGAAGTGTTTTGCTCCAAACACCAAACAGATCACCCATTCTAGCCATGCCTCATATCCCTCTATTTCACTTCCTGTTTCAAAAGTGCTGATTTTATATATAAAGCTTAAAAAACAAAACAACATTTTATAAAAAATAAAAAAAGGAGGGAGCTGAGCTACTGTCTAAACTAAATGATGTCGTGATGAAACGCCATATCATGGATTATCAAGGATTCTCTCTGAAACAGTATGGAGCTCAAAGGCTTTCTCTCTTGCCGGTTATACCACAAGGTGAGTTCCTTTTTACTTCCTGCTTCTTCACACACATGCTCTCCAGTACAGGTTAGCTCTGAGTGTTAGCGATGCTAATGTAAACACCGACCATATTACGTCCAA